ATTAATCAATTTGTTAATTTCTTTTCCCCCCCCCCCCCCGTTTTCCCCATTTCTTTTCTTCTCCATTTCAGCAATGGTAGGCTCCATATGTTACAAGTCAGATGATTCCATGACACATGCATATGTATATGTATATATATGAGATGCCTAGTGGCTCTGCTCAGACTGCGCTGAACTTCCCTCTTCGGAACCACCCATCATTCCAGAGAAGTTTCCTGCCACGATGATGACTGGGGGATTATCTGAGACCAAGCCTGCTACTCCAGAAGTCCAGCATATTGCTAATGAGGTGAGTTGCGACCTATCTAAAGATGAAGTCTCGGCGTGCAAAGGGCTGAGTCCTGAAGCTTGTGTAAAGGCTGGGAGACCAGGTGGGGATACTGAACGAGTGTTTAAACTGAAGAAGCTACTGCTGAAAATGGGAGTCCCCTTGATTGCCAGAAAGTATTTTTGCAGCATTCTGCATAGGTAGTGTACTGGTAAGACCAGGACAAACTACTTCTGTCTCATCCTTGTCCATAGCCAGGCAGAGCACTGGCTACCTGCAGTTAACGTTTGCACGAAGACCAGCTACTTGATGCCAGCACTGAGGTCGCTTGTTTGAAATGAACGATGGTGTATTGGAAGGGAGAAGATTGTGCCGGGTAGAATTAATTTCTCAGTGAAGGACATGGATAGGACAAACCATGTGGTAGCACGCACTTAAAAAAGATCCATACAAGACAAAGCTATGGATAAAGAGCATGTTCTGTGCTGGCATCTAGTGTTTTCTAGAGTCACAGCTGTGATGCAGGGGCTGATGCTGAGCCAGTGGGGCAAGGTGAGCTCGTTGCAAGGCAGGCAGGGTAAGTCCAGTTGCCATGGTGGGTGGTTACAGGCAGCGGTCCTGTCCTGGAAGCAGCTGTATCAACACCACCTCTGCAGATCCTCTAGTGCCCTGCAGTGCAGCAGCTTTTGAAATCAAGAGTATGAAATGCATCCTGAGGAGTGGAACAATATGGCATGGGAAAGCTCCTTTTTGCGTCTCCCATCTTGTGTACCCACTCTCCCAATGCCCTTCACCCTCCCAGCTCTGAAAGGCGAGCTCTTCCCCTCTGGCAACTGCACGAAGCATAACTTATGCCCTCCTTGAGGAAACAAAAATAGGAAGTAGTGGGGCTGAACATGTTGGCCAATACCGCTGCACACACCTGTGTGCACAGGGCTCCCAGCTCCCTCCTTTGCTATGCCATAGAGGACAGAGTTTGCACCGGCACCATTCCACATCTCCTGCGAGCCTGCAGGCTAAGACCAGGCAGCAATGAAACCAGACTAAGGTGAGCTGGGCTGTGCATGCGGAGGGGCAGAGCCACCAGGAGAGATCTGTAAATAAGCTGTGTAGGCTGGTGTCAGAGTCCAGTACGTGGAGCGTATAATGTTTAATATCAGATTTACTTATTTGAAGATACTTGATGTTACATGCGGTTTCTGATTTAGCAGAGTGATACAAATACACTGTTAACAATACAGATTTAAGTTACCCTTAGGAAAATAAAACAATTGCAATACCCAGTTCAATCACAATACCAATGTGATCTCCATTACTGATCTCTGTAACGTGCTCACTGTCATGACACTGGACATCGTCTGTCGCCAGGAAGGAGTACATGGGTTGAAGCCAGATCAAGCCCACTGTTTTCTTTGAAATTCTTTTGTTTGTTATTTAGTTTTTCTACTCTGTGTTGGGCAGAGCTACGTATTCACTTCCCCATGCCAGTCTGGCTAACTTAGGGAGGCGTTCACATTCTTTTAATGAGCTCCCTGTTACACCACCAGTTGATCCACTCAACTGACATGGCAGTTTATCTAAAACACCCTCTGGTCCCCTTTGTATTGAGATAAAGTCAGCTTCTTTGCAAAACCTGTGGTCAGTCCCACCCTGCATTATTTTCTGAGTTGCATAGGCATGTGGCCCTTGCCCAGTTCCTCTGAGCCTTCTTCCATTGTAGAAGGCTTTATTGGTCAGTCACAGCTGGGGTTGCCAGAGTTGGGCATGCGTACGTGGGGGAGGGCTGGAGTATGTGATAACAGGTTAGTCAAAGGGGAGGTAATTTACTGCAGAACAGAAAGAGAAAAGGATTATCTAAAATTGTTTGGGGGACACCGATTGAATTACTCAGGAGCAGTATTGATTGAATTACTCAGGAGCAGTATTGCTGTTCCTCCTGTGCTGTCAGAAGTAGTTGAAGGAGCAGCACTTGCAGAGATCAGAAATTCCCTGGGCAAGGATTTGTGGCACCTTTGTGTATTTGCATTTCGGAGGGTGATGATTCCTGCCAGCTGGGGGCAGTGAAATTTGACTAATGAGCCTGTGAATCATAGAATCATTTAGGTTGGAAAAGACCTTTGAGATCATCGAGTCCAACCGAACTGATTCACCCCACGGTGCCTGATGTGGCACAGTGCTCCTTTGAGGGCCTCCTTTGAACACTGCTAGGACAGTGTAGCATGCCAGGTGCCAAGCTGTGTTTTTAATGCTAGGCTGTGTTACAGGTGATAGAAAGATCCTACCCTATTGCAGTGTGTATCAGCGATGAAACCACAGTTATGAACTGTCAGTGAGCAATCATACACTTAAAAATGTGAACGCTTGTTTCAGGCTGTGCTAATGCTCACCAAGTAGAGGGCAAATACAGAATATGAAATGCAGATGTACAGATTTTCTGTTTGATTCCCGAAGAGGACCGATCTTAATTTTGGTGTTCTTCCTTTCTCAGTAACTTTGGGAAAATGAAAATAAATTATTCTTTGCTCTTTCTTTCTGCAAGGTGAAATTTTTGCCTTGTGCTGGGCACGGGAGAGATAACTCTCCCTGGTCTGTTCCCTTTGAAAAAGCTCAAACTCCACTGCAGAGGCTTTGAAACAGTTCTCTAAGGAAAATATTCTTGTGGAGACAAACCTTACGTTGGGGCAGTCCTGCTCTGCTTCCAGCCAGATAGCAGTGTCACCCTTTAATGTTGCAATTCTGTGGGATTATGTGCTCTGCTAAGCCCGGAAGCAATTCATATGATTTGAGCAAAGTCGTGAAGAGCATCTGTAGACCTTGGGATGCCCAAACTCTGTCTGCTCTTGGGATTACATAATTATTTACTTACACCCGTGTCTCATCTGTAGTCATCCTTAGTGAGCCGGGGAATGTTATTTATTGTTTCTTTGTTTTACAACTGTTGCCCAAAACTGCGGAATGTTTTAGGTTTAAGGAGCTGTTACGTAAGAGCTTAGGGATGTTATATTTTTCCATCTGAGGATTTAGGAGCTGTCTGCCTGCCTGATTTTAGTGAAGGCTTTGTCTGTAAATAACAAATGTGGGATGTAGTGGTCAGAGGTTGGGAGAGATCGTAAAACTGGAGAGACCTGGCTTTGTTTTGTTTTGTTTTGTTCTGAGAAAGGAGTAACACAATAATATGTATCAAAAGTTGCCACTTCGGAGCATCCTAGAGCCCCCAAACCCATCCAGCTGGAAGAGGGTTGGAAGTTAAAGTTTCTCAGGTATGCTAAGAGTTAGCAGCTCCCGAGTTGAAAGTATAGGTGTCACGTCCCTGGGACAGAAATCCTGTGGAAGCAGCTCAGAAGAAGGGCAGAGTAAGATATTTTGAAGTGCCTGAATATTATGATAATTTCTGACGGTCTGAAAGTAGTTGATTTGGATGTTCCTAGGGTGCTTTCCAAGACCTGCCTGCTAGGAAGGAATGCCATGGGAGTGGCAGCCAGCTGTAGGTGGATGTGCTGAGAAAGCTAATGAATTCTGTGAGTTCCTGTGAGACCGGGGTGGTGAGAAGCACTGACGTGCTGTTGGCCTGGCCCAGAGGAAGCCTGAACAGGCTGCGAGTGACACTCCTTTGGCAAAGAATTAAAATGGCAGCAGGTAGCCATTTCCCTGTACTGAGTGGGAGACAGTTTAGCTGGACAGCTTTTAGGGTGGGGGGAAATGAACTGGGAAGTCTAATTCTAACAGGATTTGAAAGAATGCTGGAGGCAATGCTAGGAAAGAGGGCTGGAGGTCTTGGTGTAAATGGAATTATTTGGGGGGTTCTGGGTTTATTTCATTAAGGGAGTGTATCTGAAAGGATGAAAATTTGAGTGGTAGATGTGAAAGGAAAGCTTAAATATGAACCTGCCAACCATATTTCCCTTTCTTTTTCCAGGTGAAGGCACAATTTGAAAGCAAGGCAAACAGAACATGTGGCATCTTTAATGCCATAGTGTATCGGACTCAGGTGGTTGCTGGGATAAACTACTTTATTAAGGTTTGTATATATTATAGGAAGGAGTGCTTTGTAGTTAGACAATGTAAGTGACTTGTATAGCGGCTTCTAGCAAGAAAGAGAAACAAATGTAGTTGAAAACCATCTGATGTGACTAATAGAGTTAGGGACTATCTCCAGATGCTTACAAAATTCCTCTCTTTGGCACTAATGTAGAATGAGAATAAAAAAAAAAACTTATAAGATGTGCACTGTGCTTCTTCACATGTGAATGATAACTTAGAATCATAGAATCATCTAGGTTGGAAGGGACCTTTAAGATCATTAAGTCCAACCATCAACCTAACATTGCCAAAACCACCACTAAACCATGTCCCTAAGCAGCATGTCTACATGTCTTTTAAATACCTCCAGGGATGGTGATTCAACCACTTCCCTGGGCAGCCTGTTCCAATGTTTGACAACTCTTTCTGTGAGAAATTTTTCCTAATACCCATCCTAAACCTCCCCTGGAGCAACTTGAGGCCATCTCCTCTTGTCCTGTCGTGTGTTACTTGGGACAAGACACCGACCCCCACCTGACTACAACCTCCTTTCAGGTAGCTGAGAGACTGATAAACCTCCTTTTCTCCAGACTAAACAACCCGTTCCCTCAGCCACTCCTCATAAGACTTGTCCTCCAGACCCCTCACCAGCTTTGTTGCCCTTCTCTGGACACACTCCAGCACCTCAAGGTCTTTCTTGTGGTGCAGGGCCCAAAACTGAACACAGTACTCGAGGTGGGGCCTCACCAGTGCTGAGTGCAGAGAAACAATCACTTCCCTAGTCTTGCTCACCACGCTATTCCTGATAGAGGTCAGGATGCTGTTGGCCTTCTTGGCCACCTGGGCACACTGATGGCTCATGTTCAGCTGCTGTCAACCAGCACCCCCAGGTCCTTTTCTGCCAGGCACCTTTCCAGCCACTCCTCCCCAAGCCCGTAGCGCTGCATGGGGTTGTTGTGACCCAAGTGCACGACCCGGCACGTGGCCATGTTGAAACACATATATCATTGTCCTCGGCCCATTGATCCAGTCTGTCCAGATCCCTCTGTAGAGCCATCCTACCCTCGAGCAGATCAAGACTCCCGCCCAACTTGGTGTTGCCTGCAGACTGACTCATGGTGCACTCAATCCCCTTGCAAGTGACAGGAAACAGTTATTCATTATAGCATTAACAGAAATGAGCTCCATCACAAGATTCATTCTTTTATACTTCTGAATTTTCCACATCACTAATGTTTTACTAGCAGACTTACACCTGAGAAGTAATCCAGACCAAGACAACCACAGTGCCACATTGCAGCCACCAGAAAGCATGTAAAAACCTCTCAGAGCCTAAGGCACTAGACTTTCCCTCGATACTACATACCTCACACAGTGAGAGTTTAGCACCTGTGTGCCTGGCTCTGTATGTACGAAATTATGCACAACTCTGCAGGAAGTCTTTCTGTGAGGACTTTCTGGAGGGGAAGGTGAGTTTATTTTAAATAGTATTTCAGCCACTCCCACTCACTCCCACAAGCAGAGTTGTGGGAGTCACGTTGTCAATATGGCTCAAGTTGTCTGTTCAGGCACTCGCGTTTGCAGTAATTCTGAAGACAAGGGATACTGGCTTTCAGGTTGTCATTGCTTCTTCGGACCATGCGCAGGTTTTGGATAGATCTTTCTGTACCTTCTAGGAGCTGACACTGTCTCTGCATCTCTGCCCCACCCCTGAATAATTAGGATTTACTCATTGTCTCTTGTACCCTTACCCCAGTGTGTCCCAAGAAGCTGTAAGCTGATGTGCTGGGATTCTGATGACCTAAACAGGACGCCATCAAAACCTTTCTACTGTTGTGCCTTCTAGTGCTTCCACATCCAAGAAGTCCTACTCATTTTCCATTCAGTTCTCTTCAGGTGTAGACAGTTTCTGCCACCAATTACTACCCAGAGTTGGGTTAAGAGCTGTTGAAGTAAAAATGGAGACACCTAAAATTAAGCTCCTGAGCTAAGATGTACGTACAGAGCATCCTTTTGTTTGAACCTGCGTCACCCATGATCCTCACTTTCCCACCATTTTGGTTTCTAGGTCCAACTTTCTGATGCCGTGTATGTCCACTTAAAGGTGTTTCAGAGCCTTCCTCATGAAAACCAACGTCTCAGCCTTGCCGGTTTTCAGACTGGCAAAACCAGAGATGATCCTCTGACCTACTTCTGAGAGATGAGGAATGGCACCTCACTTCTGCAAGTTGCATGTGGATTCTGCCTGTGTCAGTAAATGCATGAAAATAAAATAAATTTTGAAATCTATTTGTTGATCTACTGTGTGTCATGTCTAGGTCTGCTGCCTGGCTAAAGCTCGAGTAGGCTCTGAAATACTATTGAAGGCTGTTTGTGCCACCTGAGGTACTGCAAGTGTAAGGAAGAGCACACCCCTTTCAGCTTCTCTTTCCAAACCACTGTCAGACATGCTCTGAAGGCAAAACTTGGGCCTCCTGAGTATCCTTCGGGCATAAGCCTACTGTGTCTCCCTCTGTAAGTGCAGCTGGACAGCAGGGGGGCAGGAACGAGCTCCTTGAAGGTGCCCCCGGAGCAGGGAGTGACTATCCTGACTTAGAGGGTGTGTTTTACTGGAGAGCTGTGGAGCTCATTCCTTCCCTCCTTCCTTCCAGCCACCTTCAATGAGAGCAGTCTTCAACTGAGCTCTGAGGTGACAAAGGCCAAGCTCAGTCCACAACAAAAATACTTTCCTGTTAGCAGCTGCTCAGGTAGGGGCTTGTGCCCAGCACAGGGGACAGCATGCCCTACGTGGCCTCATCAGTGCTGAACATGGTGGAAGACTGGCCTCAATCTGCTGACAGTGCTCTTCCTGTTGCAGCCCATGGACACCGCTGGCCACATTTGCCGCAAGGTATCCCATGGGAAGACTCCCAGGTCCTTTCCTGCAGAGCTGCGTCCAGCTCCCAGGCCTCAGCCTGTACTGGTTCTTCCTTCCCAGCAGCAGGACTGCGCATCTCCTTTTGTTGACAGTGGCGAGATGCCCACCTGCCTGCTTCTCCAGCCTGCTGACATCCCCCTGAATGGCAGGACAGCCATCCGGTGTATCAGCTGCTCCTCTTGGTTTTGTGTCATCTACAAACCTGCTGAGGATGTGCATGGTCCCATCATCCAGATCATTAATGAAGATGTTACACAGTATTGTCCCAATATTGATCTCTAGGGTACACCACTAGGGACTGACCTCTAGCTGGACTATGTCCTGGTCAACTTTTTGAGCACAGCAGTTCAGCTAGTTTGCAGTCCACTTACCTAGCACAAGCTATGAGAAGTCACGGAAGACAGTATCCAAAGCCTTACTAAACTCAAGGCAACTAATACCCACAGCTCTTCTCTCCCTTGCCAAGACACTTATCTCAGGCTGTTGGGTTGATTAAGCATGATTTCGCCGCTGTAAATCCCTGCTGACTACTTTCACTCACCTTCTTGTCCATAATATGTTTGGAAATGGTTCCTAGGATTATTTGTTCCATCAGCTTTCCAGGGATTGAGGTGAGGCTGATGAGCCTGTAGTGCTCCAGATTGTCCTTCTTGCCCTTCTTGAACACAGGAGTGACATTTTCTTCCTTCCAGTCCTTGGGAACCTCCCCTGATGCCCATGACCTTTCAAAGGGTATTGAGTGTGGCCTTGCAGTGACACCAGCCAGCTCCCTAAGCATCCATGGGTGCATCTCCTCAAGTGCCACTGCATTGTCTAAGTCCAGTTTAGTGTTCCCTTAACCTGATCCAGCTCTGCTGAGGAAATTCTTCCTTTCTCCAGACTTTCCTGCTCATCTTAAGGACCTCAAATTCCTGAAGGCAAGTCCTACCAGTAAAGGCCGAGACAAAGGCAGCATTGAGTGCCTCAGCTTCTTCTGTGTCCTCTGTCAGCAGGTGCCCTGCTCCACTGAGCACAGAGGGCCCACGTGTTCCTTAGTGTTCCTTTTGCTGCTGATACACCTGCAGAAGCCTTTCATGTCCCTCACCAATTTAACGTATTTCTAATTAAAGCACAGAATAAACATAAGGTTATCCAGAATATGAAAAACACTCATGGAAAAAAAAACCCCACAACTCTGAGCAAGATAATAACCAATACTGAAAACCAGTAAAGAGAAACAGTGAAACAGCAGTCAAATATGCCACCTTGATTCAAGAGAAGTATTTATTGTTATTAATGCAGAAATGCTTGTCCAGCTTAAGCTCCTTTCCAGGACTTTTCCTTAGGACTAAGAAAATAAGCAAGCTGGGTTTTTCATTTTTTAACTCATACACCCTCTACTGGACATTATATCCTACTGCTGCAAGAGGATAAACATGATTACCAAGGGAATGCTTGTTTCAAAAGACTATAATCCTCCTCTTTCTCTTGCTTTCAAAATTGCATCAGCTGAAGTTGCTCCTCAGGTCTTGCCAACAAAACACATAGTACAATTTAAATCTACAGATATATGCACATTTGCGAAACAGCATAGGAAAGATTCTGGTTTTCCTCTTGCTCCTTTCTGTAAATACATGAGTGCTAGTGTCACTCCCCTTTCAGTTTCCAGACCAAGGAAGTCCACCAACGGGACTCAGCCACAGTATTCCAGTTAACTGAAGTCAGCGCAGCTACTTGGGTTTGCATTAGTGTAGGTGAAAGGAGAGCCGTGTGACTCTAAAATTTAGATATTGCACAGGAAGGGAATGGCATAAAAGAAATTGTTTTTTCCAGCATTAAGTTTAAAAAAAAAGACACTTTCTTTTCTCCTTTCTTGGCACAGGAATCAACATTTTGCAGCCTATAGAAAACGCACATAAGAAACCATTAGGAAAACGCACAAGATAAGCTTGCTAGAAAAAAGTCAGTTCGTCGTGCTTCATCTTGCTGCTCTGGTAACTGTGGAGACTCAGTGGCTTATTCTCGTGAGGAAGGCTTCTGAACACCCGCAGGTGCATGAACTCGTCATTGCCAACATGGACCTGCAAAGCATGAAAATCAGTGAGTGCCATGGAGTGACAGTAGCCTTCAGCAGGAGGGATGGTGTAGACCAGGGTGTTTTGAGGATGGACAAGCAGAGAGGCAGTAAGAAAAACCATCATCTCAGACAGTGTGGTCTTGTTTTAAACCAGACTGGGAGTCACGACTTTGTGGAATTACCACCTAATCCTTCTATGCTTGTTAATCCTTCCTATGCCCGAGATAGGGAACTTACAGGTAGGGAATCACAGTTGCAGAGAGGTGATGAATATATTAAATACATGCAAAATGCTCTAATCTTATTGGCACAACAAGCACTTAAATGCTTTGATCACTGTTGCTTGTTTTTGTGTCTGACATCACTACAGGTAGAGTCAGAGCACGTTTGATATTTTACCTTCACACATCTTGACTTCACTTAATGCAATGTTAGTGCTCAACATCACAGATGTGTAATTATTCCCTAAACCAAGTTTCACAAAATAACTGGAAAGTAAAAGTCCTTATGAAAATAGAGAAGTACTCTTATCTCAATTTAATACAGGGAGGGATACGGGCGGGGGGATTTTTTTTTTTTTTTTAACGTACAGATTTTTTTCTTATTAAAGCCAGATCACAACCATCCCTCTGTAGGTAAGTAAAGAAAAAAAACCAAACCAACACAACAGCATTCCAAATACTATACATATTAATTTAAAAAAACAAAATCCCATTGGCCAGTGTCTTCTACCTTGATGAAGTAGTTTGTTCCAGCAACCACCTGAGTTTTAAACTCCACTGCAGTGAAGACATCAAACGTTTTCCCTTCTTTTTCTTCTAGTTGAGGTTTCACCTTAAGGAAACAATAGGTTATTTAAGACTGATGCGAGAGTCAAGTATTTAGGAGTTAAGGCCCACACTATTGGTGTGCCTCAGTACCCTCCAGGTCACTGCTGCTGAATTCTCAGGCACAGAGTTCCTGCTTTTCCAAGTTATTAAAAGATCAAAAATGAATAATGTTAAGTTTTGTGTTAAAGCAAGGCCAGAAATCTAGACAGGCAGCAAAGCCAAGACAGCGGTGTGATTCACTTGCCACAGACTGACACCAAGTCTGGAGCTTCCAACAGAGGACTATGTGGGTATTCTAGAAGATTTATTTTGACAAATGATTTCCTCTGTCGATGTCTCAGCTTTGCTTTCTGTCCTGTATATTTAAGAACAAATGTGAAGTGGTTCAGTATCTACATGCACAAGAATATATGTCTTTTTAAAGACATTCTTATAACAAGAAAAAGGGACGTCTTCAGCATTAGCTCCTTTTTCAAGTTCAAAACAAGTTCTTACAGACCCAGCATCACAGAACAGACAGACATCCAAAAATCAAGCTTTGAAAGCAAACTACCCAAGTCTGAGGTTTTACCACACTTACTTGACAGTTTTTCTAGCATGTCAGCTGGAATCTGTTATGTTTTCAAACTGCAAATATTTTTGAAAAACCAATTGAACCATAATACCTTCTGAGTTATCATCCCAGTTTCCAGAGTGTAAAACTACTGTTCAAGAAGTCAGAATAACTTGCCCAATACCCCAGAGGGAGGCATGAACTCATATGAGTTGCAGCTCTTACTTCCCACACTTGGCTCTCTAGAACCCCATGGCGATGCAAAAAAATTCTTGGTCAGGAAAGCAGAAGATTTCAGGCTTTGTTTACAAGGGCAATATGAATCAGTCTTGGGAGTGTGTAAGCTCCGTTCTACCCAGAAGGCCTTACCTCCCGCACCGCATCATTACGTAGCCTGCCCTCCACTGCCAGAGCAACAGTACCAGTAGTGAGTTTCTCTTTCCAGCTATATGGTGTACTTCCCTTTCTTCCTAAATTCAAGGAGAATAAATACATTTGCTATCCTGCCTGAATCCCACCTGCTTCCCTTGGGGGAAAACAAGTGCCCATTTGCCACTACTCGGGTGCTCTAGGTGAAGAAGGAACAGAAACAATTCCTGTAACAGGGTACGTTCTCCCACCTCTCCAGCACCAAGAAAGTGCAGGACCAAACTCTGCTGCCTTTCCGAGACAGCTGATCAGTGGCCAACCTGTCCCTGGGAGCCGTGACCATATTGGACATCTTTTCTCAGAGGTCATACCTCCACGCTTCTTCCAGGCTGTGAACAGTATGTCAAAAGTTAAATAATGATGTTTGGATAGAGTAGAATAGTTCAGTTGGAAGGGACCTTCAATGATCAACTAGTCCGATGCTTTCGTAAACATGTTTTTTGCCATATGGAAATCAAAGTGCTCCCAACAACTTTGCACTCTAAGATGCAAGGAAGGCCACAGCCCCAGAAAGCACAGTTGATTCAGTCCTCCCTCCTCCCCTTCCCCTGAATCAGAGGATGGAGCAAATGGTTTCATTTTCCATCACTGGAGCTACTATTACAAATTTTAAGAAGCGGGGGGAGCGGGCAGACATAAGCATCCCACTGACCCTATCCTGTCCCGTGCTGCCTTAGCAAACCTAGGTGCTGTGCAAGGTAGGTTTGTTAGGTCGCAAAATCACCCTGGCTCAGCACATTTCGTAATTCCACCAGAAAGCTAAACACTGGGCTCCATGACTGTGGACAGCTCACAGTCACATGCGGCTGCAAGCCTGTCAGGGTGTTATCGTGGCAGTGACTCACCACAGCATGTGACAAATGGGCATCCTGATTCAGTATGGAGAGGGAGAGCCCAGAGATGCTCTCTGAAAGACCTGCTAGTTCATGATCACCGTCTAGACCTGGGCAGTACACTAAACACGAGCCAGCATTGTGCCCTGGTGGTAATAAAGATAACAGCATACTGGCTGCATCAGCAGAAGCCTAGCCAGAAGAGAGAAGCAAGCGATTATTGCCCGTTACTTGGCACTTGTTAGAGCACATTTGGAATACTGTGTCTAGTTTTGGGCTCCCAATACAAGAAAAATGTCAACAAATTGTAGCAAGCTCAGTGGAGGGCCACCGTGAGGTCATATGGCTGGGGACTCGTGCTGTGAGGAGGGGAAGAAAATGAGCTTGCTCAGCTTCAGTCATAACTTGAGGTACAGACTGCATGTGAGGAGAAACTTCTTCCTTGAGGACACTCCTGCAGTACAGCAGGTTGCCCAGAAAAACTGCACAGTTTCCACCCTCGGTGGTTTTCAAGGCTGGACTGAACAAAGCGTCAAGCAGCCCAGGGCTGCTGACCCTGTGCTTGGCAGGAGGTGCAGCCCCTTCCCACCCAAACAATCTGTGATTCAATCACAGGGCTGAAAATTATCATGCCCCAAAGGCTCTTCGCTGTTCTGCACGGCCTGTTTGCTTACTCCCAGAGCAGTTACTAAAGAGCAGATGGTTCAAAATCTCTCTGACCAACCTCTGCCACAGCTGCCAGTGAGAAGCCAAGGGCCGAACAGGCCACGGTGGAAATCCTTGCCGTGGAGAGGGAGTTCTTATAGGACTCCTAAGCCAGAGACACTGTGGAGGGAAGCTGACCTGCTCTGTCTCATGCTGTACCTGCTCTGGGCAGTACTTGCCCGCGCCATGGATCTCAACAATGTTTGACCATTGCCCCGATTCTTATGCAACAATACAATAGAGGGAAGAACTGGAAAAGCAGGAACAGAAACTGTATTTATAGCAGGTGAACTGGCAGGCTCTAACAAATCTCCACAAAGATTTGATTTCAAGCAAACTAATTTTAGAAGTCTACCTTCATTTAAGAAAACTCATGTTTCCTTCACAGTCTATATCCAGATACGCATATGACCGCATGGGGAAATTTCAGTTTTGGGGTTTCCCATGTATATTTCATTAAATAAAGTAATTTAAGGTGGCAGTAAAAACAAGCTGGACAAACTTTGAAATATCTAGGTGATTTAAATGAAAATACCACATTTTTGGTTAATTCCATTCATGTCTGAATCCAAACTGGTTTTGTTTTTACTCTTCATCTTATATTTGGACTACCAAAAACCACTGCCGACTGCCACAGATGGAAATTCAGGATTTTAAACAAATCTAGTGTTCAGTCCACGTGCAACATTAATTGCATACTCACATTATCTTTAAGATGACACATAGGCCTTTTCAGGTCAAAACAAGAATAGTGACTCTCTGTAATATACTCATTACTACAAACTTAGGTTAGTGCTTAGGAGATTCACATATCTTCTTTTTTTTTAAAATGCAAAATCATCAGATACTACAAGCTAAACATTAATTTCAGTGGCTGCTCTGCCTTTGAGTGCTTTACACATGTTTAGAAACTGCTGCAGCCTGTGCAACAAATCTGAACAATGACAAAAAGCGTAAGAAGCTGGAGCTTGTCCTTCATCTTTCTTCACTGGCTTGACACACTCTAGCTGATAGAACCAAAAAGCAGAAGGAACTTGAGTTCCCATGACAGGAAGACGACTGCATGCTTTGAAAGAAGAGCTTAGTTGTACATAGGCATTATAGAGCAAAAGTGCTCTATTAACATTGGCAATAATTAAGTTTCTCTAAGTAGCATCAGGATATGGAGTTGGCAGTGAGTTGAATTCTGCTTTGAGGAATAGCAGAAGCAGCAGAGTTTTCTTGTTTATTCCCCCACCAAAAAAAACCAACCCCAAAAAAGTGGCTACAAGGTTTAGTCTTTAGTGTAAGAATCATAGAATGGTTTAGGTTGGAAGGGCCCTTAAAGACCATCTAGTTCCAACCCCCCTGCCATGGGCAGGGACACCTCCCACTAGACCAGGTCGCTCAAAGCCCCATCCAGCCTGGCCTTGAACACCTCCAGGGATGGGGCATCCACAGCTTCCCTGGGCAACCTGTGCCAGTGCCTCACCACCCTCAGAGTGAAAAATTTCTTCCTGATATCTAATCTAAATCTACCCTCTTCCAGTTTAAAACCCTTAAGAACCATTTGAGCTCCTTCCTCAGGCTCAAGAAGAAAACGGACCGTTTAGAGCCCGGACGCGCTGGGGGTTCCTGGTGGCTCTGCGCCCACGCTGGTAGTGGCACATCCCCTGCACAGCACCATGGCTGTCCCTGAGCGCTCAACGTTGTCTACGGTTCCTCTCCAAATCCCTCTAAAATGTCCTCCTAAGATCCCAAACCTGCCCTGCCTGGAAGTCGATAATGCGACGCGGGGCTCCAGAGCTCACCCCGCTTCCACGCCCTGTCAGTCGCCCTGCTTTTAAGCCCAGGGGGGGAAGGAAAGGCGTTCGGCTGCGTAGAGCGATGGCCAAACACACC